GATAGAGCTACTATTGAGTACCGCACCGGGTCTTATGTGATGGAAAGATGCAGCCTCAATCATGTTTGGTTGTGGCAGTTGGCTCGGCTTCTACTTAGAAATACTGGTAAAGCTTTGACGCAGCACGCGTTTAAAGTTTCATTTCGATAAATTTATACGGGATCTTGAAGTAGCATCTCGAAAGGAGCACTTCAAGTGGCTGCTTTTGTACCTAGAGCTCACGTCATCGGTTACGGTTCAATCATTGATGATCCTCTTCTTCGGAGTTTGACAATTGGGCGGTTATAAATAGCTGCGGTGGATAGATTAACAGCATACCATCGTAGTGAAACTTTTATAGCGATGGCTGCCCGTGGTACTCTCTCACGTTCTTTAAACTATGACGTCACCTGAGTAAACGATGTTATGAGTTCGTATCCACTTGAAACCGTTTAAACCTATGCAATAGGTTTTGCATTCCTTAGGCAATTTGTAGGTCTTATTTTGGTCAAAATCGTATTAATGAAGTTTTTGTACTACTGATGGAGCTGGGCTCCGATAATTTTTCACTGCAGACGAAATGAATTTTTAGGCGTTTTCTTTGATTTAAATGCTTAGTTTATATGACAAGATGCAACGAATCAGTCATTTCCTAATCTAAAGTAAAATTGACTTTGCATATAAATTTAAAAACAATCCACACTTTATCTATCTACGACAATTTGCAATTTTGGAATTTATGCAGAATTTCTCACAAATTTTCATAAAATATCGAACGAGTATAAATGCATTGACCTTCAATACTGCATTTCTTCCAACAATAATCAATGATTTGTGAGTCCGACTGAGGAAAGTCTAATTCTCAGCTTGGATTTTTTTTTGTAGAAGGCCGTAGACTGATTTTCGGGTAGATAAAACATAGAATAAATTTTATAATAAAATCGAAATAGACCTATTGATCGAAAAGAGGGCTAAATAGTTTCAACGTTGATTAAAATGATTGGATGTGCTATACTGATTTTTAAAATGTGTTATAAATTCATGTAAAGAAAAGCACTTTTTGCCCTCATGTGATGGTGCCCTCATTTTGTTGGTGACTCCGAATCTTAATTCCGCACCAATGGATGGGCAACTCAGACGTCATCCACCGCATTTAGATTGGGTCTCTATAAATAAAATTAGCGGAGCCTCACATACACGTCATTCACCAGATGCAAACGATCAGTCACATGCAGGGTATATCAATCATACAGGCCATTTTTTCGTCACAAGAAAATGATCACTTATTCGCCACATGCGACCGATCACGTGTTCGCCACATGCAACCGATCTTTTATTCGCCACATGCACACGATTAATTATTCGCCATGTACATACGATTGAATATTCGCCACGAGCAAGCGATCACTTATTCGCCACGTGTGAGCGATCACCTATTCGCCATATGCACACGATTAATTATTCGCCATAGCCATGCATATACGATCAATTATTCGCCACGTACGAGTGATCAGTTATTCGCTACGTGCACATGATTCGCCTTATATATACGTTCGAATATTCGCCTCCTGCAAACGATCAATTATTCGCCACAATCGATCAATTATTCGTCAACTATTCGCCACATACAAACGTACACTTATAACGATCATTAACCGTCACTACACGTACACGAGTACACGTAACGATCATTATCCTTCACTCAGGAACGACCGCAAAAATGCACTGGGAAAAACTGGTAACCCAGTCTGCTTTTCTTACAAGTTTAACTTTGATTACACGGGTCTGAAAAAATCTGAAAATTGTTTTTATTTCTGAAAGGGTGACTGTTTTTTTGCACTGATTTCATTTTGGGTCACGATAACTTCAATTAATGCCTTGAAAGGGCATTAATTTGAATTGAACTCTCATTTTACATTTAATTAAATGTATATAGTACCTGACTTCCCACCACAATATCGATGAACTTTTTTATAATTTTTTACGACGTCAATATTTAAGCTTTCCGTTTCCATGATATGCGATTTATAGAGCGTGGAAGTGCACATTCAGCACTAGTATTAGTGGGTATCAAAATTTGTTAAAAACAAGAAAATAGCTATATATTTTTAATCATAAAGTGTTAGACAATAATTCACTATCGGCGTGTCAAGTGTTCATGGAATAAAATCACGCTGGGAAGCAGCGATTAGCATCACCATTGCCTGCTTATTATTTGTTAGCGTGAGGTCCATGAATTCGTTCAGTCTATTTCAAAGCTATAATATAGAGAAAATATTAGCCTGCGGATTCTGAGTCCGAATTGAAAGCATTGGTACAGTCCAGATCAACATGCCAGACACCGCCACATCGCTCAATTAGGGGAATTGTGCTCAATGGGCAACTGGATGTCATGGAGGTTGTAGAGTGACAGACAACCTTTCATCCTGTCAACTTTTGTCCATCATGGACTCTAAGATAGGTTAGTTATCCCAACGAAAAAAACACCAGCGAGATGAGCATGATTCATATGTGTGATAAAAGGTCTAGCTAAATTATTTGGCCCTTATATTTATATTGTGGACGCCCTTTTTTGATTAGTACAATTTAGTTCAGTTCGGACAGCACCATTCATTACCAGACACAAATAGGCAAAATCGTTCAGTTCGTATTATCAAGGTAATCGGTGTTTTTTTACACCTAAATACAGATAAATGCAACTATATTACTGTTTTAGGCGTAACATCTAAATAGACATAGCATTTTAAACTCTGTTTTGGGGTTGGCAGTCCTTCTCATAATTATTTTCTTAGATATGGCTACAGGGTTCTTTTATGGATCTTCTGCCAATAAAGCATCTATTGCTGAAAGGATGGACATGCATTTGCAAAACAAGTTCAAAGAAATCCCAATGCTACAAAACCTCTGCATTGACGAGCAACTGGTGCCATTCAAGGGGACAAGTTCTCTTGAACAATATATGCCAAAAAAGCCCCATAAATGGGGCTAAAAATAATTTGTTTGGCCGGTGATGACGGCGTAATCTACGACCTACTGCCGTATGTTGGAAGAGTAAACCGGTAAACAAACCAGGCATTCCCGATCTCAAAGCAAGTGGAAATATTGTTCTTCATCTCTGCCAAAGCATTCCCAACAATGAGAACCATTTATTATTTTTTGATAGTTGGTTTATTTCGGTGCCTTTGCAACAACACTTGGCAGAAAGAAAAATCTTTTGCTGTGGAACAGTTCGGGCAAATCGCGTGCTTGGAATGAAAATTTCTAAAAAAGAAGATAGAGAATTGAGGAAGAGAGGAAGAGGAGCATATGAAGAGAAGAGACTGATCAGCGAAACATGCGATATTACATATGTACGGTGGTGTGACAATCGTGTTGTGAACATGCTGTCGTCGTTTGCCCGCTCAAATCCTACTTCTGAAGTTGATAGATTTGACCAAAAACAGAAGAAGGTCATCAAAGTCACTATTCCAAACATTGTTCAATTCTACAATTGGTCAATGTGTGGAGTAGACAAGGCAGATAAGCTGATTGCCATCACCATAACCCAATTGAAGTCAAAGAAATACTAGGTACATGAAGATGGTGTTCAACATTTTCGACATGGCTGTTGTCAACAGCTGGCTTTTATATAAGCGAGACACAATCTTGTTAGACATGCCACGTAAAGTGTCCTTGCACTATCAGACTTCAAGTTTCAAGTAGCATTTGCTCTCATGGAAGCAGGCAAATTAATCAATAAAAGAGGGAGGCCTTCAGCTTGTGAAACTCCTGAGAGTAAGAGGCGAAAAACTATGCATGTAACAGTTGTCCCTCAGAATTCTGTTCGTTATGATCAAGTTGGCCACTGGCCCTTTGTTGCAGAAGCTTGTCGCATTTGCCGTTTTGAAGGTTGTTCAAATCGCATGAATGTTGCATGCACAAAATGCAATGTGCATCTCTGTTTCAATAACAAGACAAATCATTTTGTTGCATTCCACAATCGCTAGAATGTCACATCAGCTGACCTACATTATATTTGCTCATATTTTTCCTGCAGCTTTATGTTATACTTATAAGGAGCATATTTATTTAGGATATTGCCTCAGTGCTGGCTGTGAAATTTGTAACAAGTGCCATTTTATTATTTTTTACTGTGTGAATAAAAGAGGATTTACAAGTCGATAAGACGCTACTATGATAAGTAACTTCTAAATAATCATGTATTTTTGCAGTCAAATATGTGCATATGAGAATAAATTGGTTCTAATTCAACAGTAAAGCTCCTTTTCTGATAACATATGTATTTTCAATGTTTTCTTTGGTGCATGTCTGGTCCTGACTGTACTAATTCGTCCACTATTAATATTTTTTTAGTGAAAGTGAATTTTCTGGTTTTTATCATCTATTACTCTTATTATGAGTCAGTAAAGCCCAAAAATCAACTTCCATATTATTTTTACAAAACAATTCATTGCGCCGGCCGTTAAGGGTTAAAAAATTAATCTTCAAATTATTTTAATACATAAAAGAAATTAAAATTTTAAAATTATTTATTCTGTCAATTGATTCATGCATTGTCTCCGACTTTACGCAAATCTGCAAAATTTCAGATAGATTGGACAGCTAGAAGTGTGTTAAATATTATTATAAAATTTGTAGCACAAAAGTATTTGTTCAGTTTTTTTATTATTAAAAAAATATATATTTTTAAAATTATTTATTTTGTCATTCGATTCATGCATTGTCTCCAATTTTGCATTGTCCAATCTTGCATTGTCCAAGTGCTTGAGGCACTAGCTCTGTGTTGGCATCAAGAATATAGCCGATAGAAACGAGCTACGATATGCGTCAGTAGATCTTCAGCAGAACGTGCAACAAAACTATATGAATTTAATTTAACCAGAGTCCATTACCGTCGTAATTTAGCCCGACACCTCAGGACCCTTAAAACTGTTGGGCGGTAGGAAGAGCATCGAAACAATGTCAGAAAAATGCCGGCGATTTATGATAAATTAAAGCAAGGGAGATATAAAACGACATCCGAAAAGTTAGGTATACTTCCAAATAAAAATCTCATATATCTATTAACATGAGTACTATTCTACGCAGGAATAGTACACTCATGGTACTATTCATACTAAGCGCAATATTATCACCGCTATAAAACTATTTCTATCAACTAATAGAGCGAGAATAACGCAGAAGTCAGAACAATGGCTTCGAACAAACCGTGGACAACAAATATGCTAATCCACACACACACACAGACAAAAAAATAGCGAAAACTCAAGGAGACTTTCAAGATGTCTATAAACCGGAGGAACATAAACGGTAAATCATAGAGACGTCACTTCAGAATGTATGAATCAATTCAAAGGCATTGGTGCAAAATGATAAAGAAAAATAACCCCATATACCACCAACAGTTTGACAGGCGCTTAAGCCTGAGTCGCGTATTTCAACTTCGGAAGAGCAAAAAAATAGGAGCCAATGGGATAAGGCTGGAAATTTATTCCTATTTGATTCAGTGCAATAAACTTAATCATTTGAGCTGAAAAGGGTAAAATTTGCCGAGCGCAATAAATACGGGCTACTTTCAGGTAGAAATAAATTAAGATAATAGAAATCGGAAGGGCACACTTTATGGTCAGTGTGGAACAGAAATGATCGATGGGATCAACAGAACGTGACCACAGTATTCGCTTTAAAAGTAATCCTTCATAGATAGTATGAATCAAGCCTTAACACTACGGAACATGAAGTTAGCAAATTAGTTGATCGAAAATATCCAAGCAGTGACTGCGGATAAAATATTCAGCAATAAAGGTCTATACTCAATCCTGAGTGCAACATAGAAATCCTCTTCTAGTTTCATAAGCTTATCCTCTGCTCCGTAAACCGATTACCTTAAGTACTAAATAAAAATCAAATAAATAAAAAACTATGAGCAAAACGCTACAGAAAAAATCTGAGGATCTTAATCCAATATAAACTAAAGTATATTTGATGGTTAGCATCAGGTGTATGTAACCCACTCCGTAACATCAGTGAACATGTCTGCATCCTTGACAACAGTTATATAGTTAGGTGAAATAGAATAAACTTATCCAATACAATTGCTCCACTTAGGAAGAAAGTTGAGTTAAAATGTATTTTTGAGATGAAAGCCTCCACGGTATTCTTACGACATTGAAGGTTTTAAACGACAGACAAGAAGGAACTTTTTAGAATATAGAGAAAGTAGAGCTAGTTGCGGTAGTTGGGGTCTCGGTCTCTGAGAACGTCTGACTGAAAACCGACAAGAAATTGCCATCGCTAGGAGTCGACGATGAATTTCCGAAAAGGTTGAAGAACCCATGGGGCTCCGGAGCAGACGAGTCGGCAGTAGTGTTTGCGTCGCCGAAGATAGAGAGACCATAAGATGTACCTGCACCCTCGTCAGCGCTCGGCCTGGAGCTCGTCTCGTCTGACAGAAATACAGACGTGAGACAAGATTTGATACAGACGAAAAAATTAATTTTAATCAACAGACCTTGCATTACCTCGAAAGATGAACCAAGACTTCATTTCTTCACATTATATTACACCTAGTCTGAATGCTAGATATTTCTAGGTGATTGGTCCTGTCATTAAAAACAACCACGGTATTTCAAATGAGCCGACCAGAATAAAAATTACGCAGCCAAAAACAGAGTCCGATTACATAGAGATCCTGACGCGTCACGGGAGAACAAGACAGGCATAGAATATTAATCATTGCCAATTCTCGATTTCTATGGTGATAGGGACGACGCGTCGTATGAATGTTATTTCGTCTTTTAGTCCGAGCTTAACCAAAATTTTTGGCCCGTTTTTAATGCTAACTAGCACTTAAAGAGTGAGTCAAATTGAGAACTGCCGATTCTTCCTTTAGACGCACAAACAAGGCACGTACCACGTCACTCATATCTTGTCAAGGAATATGAAAACATTATCCCTTAGAAATGACAAAATACAGACCATTACCCTGCATCTGAATCGAGCCGAATAGGTTCAACGCAGTCATGTTATTCTGAAGATCGCCCTGCAGCTGCTGGAACAACGAGTTGGAGGTCCCAGGGCTTTCTGCAAACAAATATAAACAATAACGCTTATTCTGGGCTAATTAAGAGCATAGGAAAACACTCGGCAAAACGCTTCGCTAACAACCGCAAGCATTATTAGTAATTAACCATATCCAACATTTAAATAAACCACGGTCGTTCATAAAATGGAACTTTTAGGCTCTTTCAAGGATGATATCATCATATGAAGTGAGCTTATTTGCTTTGTATTCGTTTATATAGATGCAGCAGATGAAATGTTAACAATACACAATACTTAATTGTTTTGGGTATTTGGGGAACTTTGATTGTTGGAGCTAGAGAAAAATAATGTATATAACAATGGAAAACGACCGGCATTATGCTATCTCACCAGCAGAGATGCTCTCCAGAGAGTTGTTCGTCATCTTAAACAATGGGGAGAAGATATCATTTTTGGCCGGCATCACCTTCGCTGTTGGAGCCGTCTGTGGGGGGGCTGTGCTCGAGAAATTTATAGCGTCTGCGATGGCAGGAACGGCAGCGGCTTCATTAGTCACGGCGTCATCTGGAGCCTTTGCGTTTCCCGAGTCCTGTGACGGGAGAGGGGAACCACGAGAAATGTGCTCATGGGGCGAGTTGGTGCGGAATTCTGAAGTTCGGTCGGTAAGAGAGGCGAAGTTTCGTTGTCGGTTTATGGGTAAGTTGGAATGTGGCATTGCTGAATTAGGTCGATACATGGAGGACCCAACGAAGCGAGGTGGCAGGAAATCTACTGAAGGCATTTTGATCAGTGGAGAAGTAGACGCTCGTGGTATAGGTGAGCTAGGGGCCATGAAAAGAACTGGAGAGCTGAAAGCAGAATGACATCTGGAATCAAGAGGCGCAGTCGAATTCAACAAAGCTGGAGACTGCGCAGATGGATAGTGAAGTACAGAATCGCGAACCGATTTCTTATGACTTTCCGAATTGGTAGACGATGCAGGCGAGGCGATCAAGGAATTAATCGAAACGCTCGGTTGCTGCATAGAAGAAACTGGTGTTGAAGAACGGGAGACCAAAACGGACGCGAAAGATGAAACTGACTTTTGAACGATATTGCGACAATCATCTTTGGTAGTGAAAGCGTTTTTGTTGGTAGCAAATGAGGTCGACGCTCGAGGAGCGATAGTGTTCCCATTAGGCGTGCTCACATTCTCCGCAATGCCGTTATCTTTGTTAGAAAATGGAATGTTCAGGTCGGGGGAAACGCATCTCTCACTGGTATCCATTGGTGTAGGCAGCGTTTCCGAAGTCGAGGCTTCAGCTGGCCCATCGGAAAATATCGGTGCTCGCGAATAGCGCAGCTGTGTAGAGTTGCTTTGCTCGGACGCAGAAGCCTCAGACCCAGAGCTTAATTTTGCAGGACGATCCTTAAGGAGGCGAGAACCAACCGATGTCAGTTACATCTATCAAATGTGTAGAAATTGATATTGAACGAATAAACGGTACAGCCGAAAATTTTCAGAATTCCAATTATATCTAGATAATACGAAAAATGAACTAACGAACACCAAAGAAACAAAACATGAGGAATAATATCGTACTTAATAATTCTGCGTCAAACTATTGAATTCTTGAGCCTTGAGAACTTGGTTATGAGGTAAGGAGAAATCAAACAATTAAATTCCATCTGCATAGACATTGAACTTAAAAATTATCGAACTTTACCTCTTCAGTTGACAGCATGCGCTTCATCATAGTGACGTTCTCTTGACATGATGTCGCAGTCTCAACAGGCTCTGAAAAAATTTATTGTACAACAAACTCGTTTCATCGATGGCTGAAAGTTACTATTTAAGCAATGTAAATTTGATTCTTTGATAGGGTTGCTCCAACCTGAGCTCCAAAATATACTAAAATCTGAGGGGAGATCATAATAAGATCACTACGTACGTTGAGCTGGAGGGCAAGAGATCTTGGAAGCAACTAATGGAGAATCTGAAATCAAGTCTTATTGAAATCAAGAGGGGAGATCAGCTCTGGAAAAATATATGTTCAGATTTGAAATGCCTAGCACTATATCGAACCCGGTGGAAGTCGAGTAGCTATTTCAAACTATCGTCAGTCATGAAAAGATCCGGTCAAATGACACGATTTTAGATCTTCTGTGAACAAGGCACGAAAGAAACGGCGACAGGCCACAAGGAAAAGAATCGGCGACAGGCCACATCAAGCCTACAATTCAGCGCCGAGATCACTATGTTAAGTTATGTTATATGACATTCACTGAATGTTTTCGAAGCTCGTGAACGCATTTATAATCCAATAATGATCATGCTGTTATCATGCGGAAAGAACGGTCTTGCTTCGGACTATAGATTTCTGATAACTAACCAGGCTGGTGGTGATTGGCAGGGGCAACTTCCTCGTTGCTGCACCAGCGTGCATCAGGTCTTTGTTCAGGATGTGGCGCAACCAAAGGAATAGACGCGAGAGATGGAGTCATCGAGAAACTATTGTTCACTTGGGATACAGATTTCGGAATCAAAACTTCGCCGGAATCGTCACAATGAGAGGCAGTGCTGGTTTTAGCATGACTTGGTTTAGCTATGGATATTTCTGTAGCAATAGAGGTGCAAGAAGAGGACGGAATATCAATATTGTTTGAGGCCTCAGGAGTTTCAATTTCCATTCGCGTATGAAGCGATTCTTCCTCCAGACATGTAGTTTCCATTGCCGAGCTATTAGCCAAAGTATTTGTGGTTTGTATAGTAGAATCCGACAGCGACGTAGAAACAGTAGAAGAAATCACAGACACAGGAACAGCTGAAGAAACCAAAGTCTTAGGAACAGTTGAATATGACCTGGGTCCGGAAGGAGTTGAAGTACACATTGGCGTAAGTAAAGTTGATTTATACAGAAAGGTGCGAGCAGTTGTAGTGGAAATTTGTTTAGTAACAGACAACGTTGACACAAGTTTCGGGACACTCGAAGTGGACACCGGAGTGGAGGTTTTCAGAGCTGGAGAAGCACACCCTGTTTTCGCATACTGGTTGGCATGAAGAATTGCTGTGTTCTGAGGGCTGACAGATGCAGTACGCTGAGCTGGAGGGCAGGAGATCTTGGAAGCGGCTAATGGAGAATCTGAGTTAAAGTTCCCAAGAAACAACGTAAAAAAATAAATTAGTACAAGAGGAGTACTCATGAGAACCGAGGAAAATTCCCAGCTATGGCACGAGAAGCAATAAAAACAACTATTGGGGAAATGAGCAGACACGATGCGTTATAGAAACGAAGCTGTTTCCATCACCAATTGACATAAAGACTATTTTTAACAAAAACATATTACTATTCCAAGGCAAATTTGCGTTAGATAAAATGGTCGCTTACCAGCTCGACTGAGGGACAACGAAGGGCGTTTTGTTCCCGTGTTGCCAAACTGAAACTGTGAACAAACGTACAAAACTTATAATGCCACACGCACAAAATAGACCGTGCTCGTTGGATCGTCGATAGCAGAAGTGGTAATAAAATGTTCACGTTTTACATAGAATAAAAAACATTGTCATTTATTTCAACAGGCTCTTAGAAGCTTCCAACCTTCCAACTGCATTACAATTAGCAAACGAAGAGCAATAGATGGTTAAATTATAAGTGGACACCATGCAGATCAATTATAAGACGAGTCATCGCAATTTTTTTTACACTACTTTGAAATTAATTTGAGAAAAGAAAAGGCCTTGAGCGGCCACATTTGTCAGGGACTTGGAATTCAAGATTTCAAGCGCAATTTTTTTTCTAACTTGCAAGGCTATTCCTAGACAGTGAGCTTTATCCAATCTAGCACATTACACATATTTATTCTCAACAATTCACTTCAACAGATAAGTAACTCTGAACATTAATTGGTGAGACACGCACCTGCAGCTTAGGCAAGGACCAACGCTGCAGGGAGCAAGAGGAGGGTGGCCGTGGAGTGTCCACATGAACCTTGGTTTGCATCACAGGCTCGGAGCTTGTATAAGTAGAGTCACTGCTGGTGGGGGTTTTCGCGGGGCTGTGTGAACTCTCACTGGTGAAAGAAGCACGGCGATAGTTGGTCTCTTGTATAGTGAGAGTTCGTGATGACGCGATGGCAGGGTTTTGTGGTGCGGGACGAGAAAATGGATCGTGTTGGGCAGGCGCACTTCCAGACTGAGAAGATAATAATGAAGAATCCTGGTCTTCCGATAGCAGCTGCCCTACGTCACTGACGAATGAGTCATCATCGCCCACGAGGTTAAATGAGACCTTAAGCTTCATCGTCGAGCGAGGATTGTACGACTTGTATTTCATAGCGGGCGGAAGAGGAGGCGGGGCGCTGCTGTCACTTGAATCGCAGAAACGAGTGCTGGAACTAAATTTAATTTATAAATGCACATGATAAACGCACTGCGAGAAAAGCAGATTTCGAATAAAATAGAATTCGAAAGTTGAATAAAATTAATTTACTCAACTAATAAGAATAATTTACTCAACTGCCAAACACTTCCAACGTATAGAACCAGTCGGCTGCTATGGACTGACAGCTGGTAGGCATAACGCCTGGTGTGAATAAAATCGGGTTTGCTAAGTACATGAAATTAATAATGATGACCCACCCGACATTATAAAGTTAGACTTGTCTATTCAGAAAATCTTCAGATCATCAAAACAAGCAGGATTCATACCCAGATCACGAATTAGCTCTAAACTGAAATTTAATAAAAGCACAATAACATGCATTATGTAAAAGGCCTTAACATGTTCCAGAATATGCATTAAATTCTAATATGCGTATAAGTATTTGGAGAATGGTACTTGTAATATACAGGGTTATTCGAGCGAGTATCCACAACCAAGAAGGAATCAAGATATCACCAATATCTGAAATTCTAGATTTTTTCGTAAGATATATTGAGGTCTGCCAATGAAGATTATATTGAATGAAATTATAAATAATTTCAAGAATAATACACGTACATTACAATCGATTTCAGACAATTTGCTAAAGTGAGATTCTTGTTTGTGTTGTTTGTAAAGCGAGATTCTCGTGTAACTGACATGACTTCTGTATGAAATTCATTAGCATAGTGGCAGTGAGTTGTGGGTTTAATCCCAGCATCCTGTGACACAGTGACAGTTCTGCAGGAGCGAGATGGCTGGGCGGTTAAGCAGTGGATATTGAAGCACCGAGTAGTGTGTTCATTATTCAAGCTGGGTAAAATTTTACGACGTTCAGAATCGGCGAAAGGCCCAATCTTCTATACCAAAATCTGCATTTAAGTACAACCATAAAGATATTATTAAATCTCAGGTTTGAAAGATCCCTAACCCTATAGTTCGAGGATAAAATAAATCTGGTCTTTCAGACCAATTCATTGCGAGCAAAGAACGCGCGACCATGAGAAATATCTGCATTATTTTAATGAATAATATACCAGGGAAGCGTGAAGTGAATAACTACCGAGCTGACGTTTAATAATCATGATAAGACTTCCGTGACAGAAAGACGTGCTGTAATCAAGTGAACCCCTGCCTGATGAGGCAATCTTTTCATACTTGTTGTTGGCTAGCGTCAGGCGTCGGTGCTCCACCATACACTCGGCCAAGATGACTATCGAGTTGCGGAGTTTCTTCCAGCCTGTGACAAATTCAGCGGAAAATGAGATGAAAAAATTGTATGTATATTATTCTCAATAATAATTTGTACATTATTCACACAGTACATCATGATATTTATGTAGACAGTGTAGAATTCATGATATAGAAGGCCGCTAGAAGAGCTAATTATTAACAAATTAAACTCGATTCATTTGGTGAGCTCTCATAGGATTAAAGCCCCTTCAAGAATTGAGCGTACAAGAAATCGATAAAGACATCAAGTCACAAGGAAGTAAAAGTGCAAAATTTTTTTAGTGCTCTAGGTACAATGACATGCAGACAAATACAAATAATACTAAAAAGTTCACATGAACAAGACCACTCAGAGGTAACCCACAAGCTTTTTCCAGAGCGTCATGCAAAGGTATGACAAAAAAAACGAGCATAACTGTACATGTTTAGCTATCAATGTTACCCATAATCAGGTACATCATTTCATACAAATGCCATTAGAAAATATGTATATAAATTGTTAAGACCATACACTCTATTAAAGAATCTTTTTCTATTCACTAATAGTCAGCACATACAATCTAAACAATCATAAACTTTAACTTGGCTCACATTTAGTTTCCTTGCATTTTCTCCACATCTAGGAGGTTCATTTGACCAAAAGGGCCAATATCAACTGCCATGAATTCATCTTCCTACAAACACGGTCTTTATTATTATAGAAGACTCAAAATTCCAATAATCACTGATGAAAATACCAAGTGATTTTTGCGCAAGAAATTCTAATTAACAAAGAATCAAAATTGGCAAGATGCCTGAATAACCAATTACGTATGGACGAGATAGAAATATAACTTTTCAAAATTATCAGATAATATGGTGAATAACAAGAATTCAGTAACTCACGGGTGGATTCCTTAGATGCGTTAAGATTTAAAAATTGTGCCTGATGCTGCAAAAGCTGAGTCTTCTGAGCCTTCAATTGCTGCAGTTTTTCTGCAGCCATATGACAGCGTGGTGGAAAGCGGTCCTGTTTTCAAAATATCATTTGTGAATTTAGGTAAATAATTATTGAGTAAAAAGTACCCCAGTTAAAGGAAATTTAGTAAATGTAATAATTTCATGAATTGATTGTCTTAACAAACCAAATTGCAAGTACAAAAACTCTTATGTTCACTAATCTATGGCAATTAAAAAAATTCTTGCAAACCATGAGATTTTGTGTCACCTTATTTCTACTTAAAGTGAGGCTTGCCATAAAATGTTGAGATCCTAGATATTTGAGTGATACTCATATTTTTCCTCATGTCAATACAATTTGTTGTGATTATAAGCAAAAACTATAATTTTTTACATTTCGCCTTGACTTCAGCTGCTCATGGAGAAATGACATAAAAACAATGAGGTGTGGAATTATTCGTTGACAAGCAATCAAATACAACACATATTTCTCACATCAAATAAGAAAATGTTCAGAATTTCATGGAATGATTAGTGAATAGCACATTTTACCTTATAAAAAAATTTCCCATTTCATGACCTATGAGATTTCAAAACCATGTTAAACAAAATAATACCAACCTTGACCAACTTGGCTTTGTGGAACTGGAAACTTCTAGAATTTGACAACTTTTTCATCAAATTTTCAAGTTGCTTCTCTTCTTCTGCAACTTCAGATACAGCGTCATCAGCAGCTTGACGACCATTCAGCACAGCAGCATCAAGACTGGTGATAAAGATATTAAATGTGAGTTATTAAACTCCCTTGCAGAAATATACATGGAACACACAGGAAGTAGCATCAAACCTAACTAATAAGTAAATAAATCACAGTATATATAATTTGAATTCCACGAGGTATTAGTTCTCCATGTAGATAGTCCATAGGTATTCAAACTCAGGCATAGGATTTGATATTAAGATACAAAGATAAATGTTAGGCAAAAATTGTGATGGGTTTATCATGTTTATGAAAAATTATTTTCAAGCATTTTGTTTCAAAAAACCCTATAAAGAATCCAGAGTACAACATTGTTGCCAACACATCCAGAAGAATAAGGAAGGTTGCTATTTCATAACAACCTGGCAAATCAATATCAACTATAATCAACAAAACATTTCAACTGTAAAATGAAAAAGTTTATGTAAAAATGTTATCTTATGTACAACAAAATTCTAATTATAGCATGATATATTATAAAATTCCTTCCTATCATAACTTCATTGAAATAAATTCTAGGAATGGGTGAGAACAAACCCATCTTTTGTAGTCTTGAGAAGAGCACAGCTGTCCTGGAGCTTGGTCACCTCAGCCTGGAGCTCCAAGATTTTGTTCTCTTGCTGAATTTTGTGCCGCTTCTTCTGAGCAATGACCTCGTGTATGCCTGAATAAAATGCACATGTAATCCAACATCCTAAACATTCAGAAACCTTCATTTCTTTCATGTGTCAGGACTTCAATTTGTGAACAAGACAAGTGGTTTGCTCTGCAAAAAGTAGGAGAGTTGGCAATTCTTGCAATTGATAATGTTGGTTGACTTCACAAGTAAATTAATAATCCAACAACTGTAAACATTCATAAATGGGCATCATGAATTATAATTTCAACATTTAATATGTGCAACAAAATTTAATTTTATATCAGAAAATCAATTATTGTACATTGTCCTTTTTTGCAGATCACCATAATATATAAAATTTGTAGGAAATTAGTTGGTAAATAGTCAAAACTATTGTGACATTACTTTTAGGATGCAATTGAATGAAGATTTTGATAACATGAAATTCAAACACATGTAATTGAATGCACAAAAAATTAAAAATCAAATGGGCAATGTACTTGGAATTAAAATAAGCTCAAAAATTAGAACAAGTTGGTTTTATCATTAGTGGTAAAAATTTGTGTACACATGAGATAAACAATAGGCATATTTATATATATATATACATATTTAAAACTTTTTAGTGGTTCTTCTAAACACTTGAAACTTCACAACCCTTTTAATACTGGAGTGGATAGAAAATTTTATGGCAAGATTGATGCTTAAGTGGACCAAAAATTTCAACACATCAATTAAAAAATCACTTATTACCAATTAGGCTTGTTAGCTTTAGTAAGGTAATATGAAAGTACAGAAATAGAAGTTTGAAGTTAAAATCAAAACCTCAGGAGTTTGTGACCTTGGTGTTAACAAGGTATGAGGTTCAAGAGTTTGTTCTACCAGCATCATCATCAATCATAAATTATATATACCATCAGAACATAGGTTTGGTTCTCTGGGAGAAGTTAAGAAGGCATTTGAAGTTCTGCATGAATCGCTTGAAGAAATTGGAAATGGCAAGCAACCCTTTCTTGACTTGAATATGAAGTACCAGAGGGCAGAGGTCAGGTTACTCAAACAAGCATGGACATAACAATAAGTAAATAAATTTTCACTTCAATATGAGTACATGAGCCAGAGATGATTGTCTTAGTGCGAGAAAGTTTCTATTCGGCAACTATCATGATATTGTAAGCTATCCTTACAAACTATTTCATACTTGAATTCCTCATTGAACTATCAAGATCTCTTGAGAGAGTACTTACTGTCACAATATTGCTGTTGAATAGTCACTGCTTGATGAGTTTCAGTTATGACAGCAGCCAATTTGCTAATTGGAGGTAGTGATAGCTGAAGATCTGCACCAATCATGTTGCTATTGCTAGATAGGCTTTCTTGATTGGAGGAATTGGTAATACTCTGTACATAGGCCATCATAAAAGTGTTACTTTGTAAGCAAATAGCATGAATAAAGAGATCCTCATTCTGAAATAAGTAAATTATGAGATTATTAGAAACATATTTTCAAGGTACAAAAATAAATTAAATTATCACTTTTCCATTTTATCTCTTTAGTTATAACACTATTCACAAATGCACAATGGATTTATGTTTAGCAGCATCAATGAAATCAGTCTAAAGTTAAGTTCTAGTCATTTATTCTTTGATTTCCAACCAAATAAAAAAAGCATGAAGGTGTAAAATTCCCTTTTGACAAGCTGTCATAATCAACATATTTTCCAGTCCAGCTACCTAATCTCAACATTGATATAACTACTCAACTCAAGAGCTGAGGCACTGTATTAGACTGAGCACTGAAAACAGAAATCTATCAATCAGCATACTGCGTACCTATTGCCCACTCACATAATTACAAAGTAAGTCCTAAAACAAACTGAGCTATACTGATTTTTCAGTAATTATAACTGCTGAGCAAATTAGCAATTGAAGAAATGTTTAGATTTAGAAGCAGTAAATTTTCAATTTCCTGATCATATGATAATAGGATCTACTTCTAAGATTTCATACACAGAATTTTGTGCATATTAGAGATACAAGGCAATTCATGTTTCAACTACCTCCCTAAATTCGTTTAATACATTCTTTAAAACAGACCAACGCTGTCGCTATGTACAGTATGTAGGCTGCAGATACAGTACCTAGATCAGCTAGATGTTGGATAATTTAAATTTCAACAATGTAAATATCTCAAAATTGAATCTATTCATGCTTTGTGATAATACTGTAAACATTGATTTTATATGCCAAGTCATAATAGTTTGAAAGATTTGGAACAAGTAATTTGTCTGGAAATTTTTTGAACCCTCAGTCCAGGGTTCCAGCCTCCAGGCACCATGTCATTGATACTTATGAGTGATGAGGCTCAAGTTCTCAAAATCTCAACTTGCATCATTTGATGCATAAAAATCCTATCCAGTCCCCTGATCTAAACCCTGCTCATAAATGAATGTTATTATTTCTGATTAATTTTAAGACTTCTGATGTGAAGAAATTAGACCCTCTATCAGACATCAGCACTCTTATATCCGATTCATTGTAATTAGCTAGTTTTGATTTGGGGCGTGGTGACTCTGAAAAAGGACATTCCAGAGTTAGGCCTTTACAATGGCTATCATCCACTGATCCACTCCACACATGACAGCAATGATGAAGCATTGCAATGATTGCATTATTTGCATATTTCTTTTTTTAGTAGGAATGCCGAATGAGAAAGGGAGGCCAAGCCAGGTAGTGAGGTAGAAGTGACTTTAATGAGGAGGCTAGCCGCTAGAAGTAGAGGGATGTGAAAGTTTGTGTTAAGGCTATGAGGAAAAAACAAGAGGAAGAGAAAATTCAAGAGCAAAATTTATATGGTTAATTTTTGCTAAATCCCATTTATGGTACTCACTACTGTATAGTTTAAATTACAGTAAATAACATCTAGGCTATATTAGCTAGGTATCTCATAATCTCAGTACCTAATAATCTCACCATCTGACATCTTAGCCTACTTACTACTTAGCCTTAGGCACTGAATGACTATTTGTGTTCTATTAAAATATTATAGATGCAGTTATTTTCATATCGCTTTCCACTCCACACAAAAATCGCTTAGTGGCTCGCAATCCGTAATCACAACGCATGGAGGTAAAAACGTAATGCGGTGCACTGGTATCAATAGATGGCGACCATCATGGCGTCAATCGGTCGGTCACTGTCAGTGCGTTTAACTGCGTTATTCTACCAATCTACTTCCTACACTCTACAGATGGTGAAAACAGTTTGGTTTAGATTAGGAACCGAGAGCGAGGAAACCATATTATGTAAAATTAACAGAATACAAGCATTATTAAAATAAAATATTAGGAGTCTTCATCATCGGGAAACGATCTTACCTCATCTAAATTGATCTAATAGGGCAGATTGAGAGTGTGACGTAATTGGAATTTGGATTTTTACCTTCGTTTCTGGAGCAGCGGTATTTCCGCTAGGAGTTTTGACCTATCTAGTTATTAAAAAATTACCAGATTGAGTGAAAAAATTCGAAATTTCGACCAAAAAGATTGAATTTACCGCTACGAGTATTCAGTTACATATTCACATACTTTCAATCAGGTTCAGTATATGACATGCCTGTCATTTTTGCTCTTTTTACCGAGCCCTTGCAAAGAAAAAGTTTGCCGGCACTTCTTCTGCCGGATAACTACAGCATAGGCAACATTTTTATCTCTCAAAGTCTCAAATTCTTTTCTTCTTGCGCAGTGTTGCCAGATGGGCCTTTTTCAGGCCAAATTTCGTAAATGTGGCCTTTTTTTTAAATGAGGTGGCCCGACAAAATTCATTTGCGTTTTTTGGCCTTTTTCGGCCTTCTTTATGAAAAATTTAATTCATGATTTTTTTGTAATAATTTTGTCCTTCACTTATAATTCAGTTTTATCCAAGACGAGTACACTCAAATTACGACACGTAACTGTGTCAACACTTTGGTTTAGGTGGCAACACTGGCGATTGCCTCCTAAATCCTAATCCGGGCAAGACTTTGCTTGAACCTTGGGAGTTGGGACTATATCCAGTTGCCGACTCGTATTAATAACCATGGATGGCTTAGCTGAAAGCGCGTATAATCGAGTATAGTTTCCACTTCTAAAGCACCAATTTTTACAACACTTCTCTTTAACTTCACTTCTTGTTGTTTGTTTGATTGTTTGTCTGCTACAAATCTTGTAATTGAAATTTAACACACTTCTACTTATCCTATCGATCTGAAATTTTGCACACTTGCGTAAAGTTGGAGACAATGCATGAACCAATTGACAGAATAAATAATTTTGAAAATTAATTTTTTTTTCAATATTAAAAAAATTAACGAAATAATTTTGACAGCTACAAATCTTATAAATGATATATGACACACTTCCACCTGTCCAATTGATCTGAAATTTTGCATACTTGTGTGAAGTCGGAGGCAATGCATGAATCAATTGACAGAATAAATAATTTAAAAAAATTATATATTAGAAATTTTGAAAAATTAATTTTTTTAATTTTCGAAAATAAAATGAGAAATTCATAGTACATCTTTAACATTGGAGACACTGGATTCTTTAGAAGTGTTGTCTTTAAAAAGTAATTTTTAAACGTATATTATTGATGTTACAGCGCTGTTTCTCGATACATTCAGCCTTCTGGTGTGAGTCACTACAAAATTTCACTTTGAATAAATATAATAATTACTCCTTTCAAAGTTATGATATGCAATATATTTTTTTAATCATTCAAAAGTTGTGATAAATTTATAAAATTGACTCTTAATGTTTACCTTAGTCTTGCAAAGACTACATCATCTTTATACCACAGAAAGGAGTTTAAATTTATTATCATTTCCGCGAAGAAATATTCTACCGTCAATACCAAAAACTTCGCCACATCATAGTCATGCAAGGACCACATCATCTTTCTACCGCAGAAATAAGTTTGAATTTATTTTCATCTTCCGCGTATAAATATTTTACCGTCAAACGGTCAATGCCAAAAACTTCGCCACATCACTTATAACATAACATAACGCCAACATAACTGGACAGGGTGGCCCAGTGGTTACAGTTCAGAGTACCAGGATTGGAGCAGAGAGGTGCGGGTTCGATCCCAGCTGACAGCTCTGTGCGCCAGTTTCTGGTCAGAATCGGCAAGGAGGCCGGGCGGTTAAGCAAAGCAGAATTGTAGCAGTGAGTTGCGATTTCGAGACCGCAAAATGCTGTGAATGTTCTGCGATGTTAAGAAAGGTACAGAGTACCAGGATTGGAGCAGAGAGGCACGGGTTCGATCCCGGCTCTGTGCGTCAGTTTCTGGTCAGACAGAATCGGCAAGGAGGCCGGGCGGTTAAGCACAGCAGAATTGTAGCAGTGAGTTGCGAGTTTGAGCCCGCAAAATACGGTGAATATTCTGCGATGTTAAGAATCGGCGACAGGCCTACGGCCTACTAAACGCTGAAACCGCTATTTATTTATTTATTTATTTATAACATAGTGATGTCGGCGCAGAAAGTGTAGGCCCGATGTGGCCTGCCGCCGATTCTTTTACTTTTCGTGCCTTGTTCACAGAAGATCTAAAATCGTGTCATTTGACCGGCTCTTTTCATGACTGACGATAGTTTGAAATAGCTACAGGTACTAGAATTCCACCGGGTTCGATATGGTGCTAGGCATTTTAAGTCTGAACATATATTTTTCCAAAGCTTTATCTAGTCTGTTCTTGAACGCGTTCACACTTGGAGCGCCAACGATGTAATCGAGGAGTCTGTTCCAAAATGTCGGTGATTAGAAGCAAGAAGAAATGTTGTCGCGTGGAGAAGTAGCAGCGCAGTTTTTTTAGTTTATAGCCGTGGCCCCTGGTGCTGCTTTTTGTTTCCTATTCTAGTAATCCTTCCAGGACCTTGTATAAACCATGAGTATACTTGTATACTTCAATGAGGTACCCACGCAGACGTCGATAACTGAGGCTTGGAAGCTTCATAATCTTTAATCTTTCTTCATAGGACTTGCCCTTCAAGCCTGGAATTACCCTTGTTGCACGTCTTTGAACATTCTCTATTAAATTTTTGTCCTTTTCAAATCTCGGTGACCACACAACGTTTCCAAACTCTAGATTCGGGCGCACGACAGCAACAAACAACTGCTTCATCGCTTCTGCATCTAGGAACTCGTATGAGCGTCTGATTGGTCCAAGAAGTTTGTTGGATGTATTAGCTTGCGTTTCAACATGCATAGAAAATTTCAGCTCCTTGTCGACATAAACTCCAAGATATTTTTCCACACTAGACTTTTCAATCATTACTCTCTCGTTGCAACCATGTTTTCTCATACTGTAATCTTGCTGTTCATTGTTCTTGCCGAGTTGAAGTACTTTACACTTGTCAGCATTAAACCGCAGCTGCCACGTATCAGCCCAGTTAACTAAACTGTCAAGATCCTTGACATC